CAGGCAGTCCACTCACCTCAGCCTCCCAAAGCATGGGATTATAGGCTGAGCCACCGAGCCCGACTTATATATAACATTTTAATGACAAAAACCTGCAACTGGATCCTCAGTCTCCTGACTCTTGGTCCATTGGGTTGAAGGGAAGGATGCTGTGAGAAGAGTTAGAGCAGTATATAGTTGGTGTGGTATATGTGGGCAGGTTTGCTTATGATCGCTCTAACTGCTACTTGAGTGTTTTCAGTAATTGAGAGCGCAGTCTTTCAAAAAGAAGTATATATATATTTTTTTCCGAGTTGGAGTCTCACTCTGTCACCTAGACTGGAGTGTAGTGGCCGCTCCCAGCCACTGCAGCCTCGACCTGCTGGGCTCCAGCGATCCTTCCGCCTCAGCCGTCCAAATAGCTGGAACTACAGGCACGCGCTACCACACCCGGCTAATTTTTTATTTATTGTAGAGATGAGGTCTCGCCAAGTTGCCCAGGCGGGTCTCGAACCTGTGGGCTCAGGCTGTCCACTCACCCCGGCCTCCCAAAGTGCTGGGATTACAGGCTGAGCCACCGACCAAGAAGTATATTTATCTAGACAATGGTAGAAGTTTACTTTGGCATTATCAGTCAACTGGTCCACCCTTTCAGGGTAGTCAGGTGGGGATTAGAGTATAGATTTAATTCAGAATTGTCTGGGAATGGATGGTTTGGAGAATTCTGTGGGACCTTTTGCCTTGGCTGCTAGAGTAGTTGTTGACTGATGTATGGCAGCCAAATAGGATCTCCGAGACAGATGGTGACTAGCTGCTCTGGTGTTGCTGTGCATTAGTGTGGCCCCTGTGGAATCAGCTCAGTATGGACTTTGCCATTATTTGATGGCTCAGAAAATGTTTACTCAGAAGAGATAAAATTCTGAGAAAAGAGATTATGTTAACAGAAGGTCTGAAGACAAGTTTTTGTAAGTCAGAATACCAATTTACAATGGTAGACGTATATTTGGCCCCAGATATAGAATCTCTTGAACAAACCAAGGATTCCCCTCCTGCTGGGGTCTAGCCTGAGATCAAAGTAATCAGAAGATCACTTGCTCTGGGCAAGCCTAGAATTACAAGCCTGTTGAATCCGTACCTGCCTCTGGGCTTCAGGTTGTGAGGACTTGGCCTTCTTTTACTCTGGGGCTGTGTCTCTCTGGAACAGCTGCCAGATATGCAGACTCAAACCACTCCAACCTGTGGGGAGATACTGCAGTGTTCTTACCCTTCCACATCTTTTCTGCTATTAAGTTGTCAGAAAAACTTCTGTTATTTCTACTTTCCTAATGAAGGACAGAACTGGTTAAGATTTCCAGGAGTACTGCTTATTTCATTTTGCTTAGGTAATATTTAAATCTGCTCTTCCACTGAGATTTGTGGTTTGTGCTACTCAGTATCATTTAGGAATAGCTTACCTTTACCATCGTCGCGTCAGTACCTGCAACACTCTCCACAAAGGAATTGTGCTGCATTTTCTTCTTCACTGAGCACGTTCTGTGGGCACACTGACTTTCATTCCTGTTTTTTCTCTAGGGTCATCTAGTAGCAGGCACCCAAATCAGGCAACTCCGAAGAAAAGTGGTTTAAAGAATGGCCAGATGAAAAATAAAGATGACGAGTGCTTCGGGGATGACATTGAGGAGATCCCAGACACGGATTTTGATTTTGAAGGAAACCTGGCCCTTTTTGACAAGGCAGCTGTGTTTGAGGAGATTGATACCTATGAGAGGAGAAGTGGCACTCGCTCCCGGGGCATCCCAAATGAAAGGCCCACTCGGTACCGCCATGATGAAAACATCCTGGAGTCAGAGCCCATCGTCTACCGACGGATCACAGTGCCCCACAATGTGAGCAAGGAGTTCTGCACAGGTGAGTTGCACCAGGCCCTGCATCCTCCGGGCCGTTCTTCTCTTTCTGTTACACTTGAAACAGAAAGACCCGGTTTCTGAGTCAGATTCTCACACTAGGAATTAACTTGAGTGGCTTGGTGGTTGGCCCAGAATTATTGTTTCTTAGGGACTGCAGCCAATACAGCATCCTACCACTGTGGAGGGATAATTTTTCTTTTTCTTTTTTTTTTTTTTGAGTTGGAGTCTCACTCTGTCGCCCAGACTGGAGTGCAGTGGACGCTCCCGGCCACCGCAGCCTCAACTTGCTGGGCTCTGGCGATCCTTCCGTCTCAGCCTTCCAAGTAGCTGGAATTACAGGCGCGCACTACCACACCCGGCTAATTATTTATTTATTTATTTATTGTAGAGATGAGGTCTTGCCAAGTTGCCCAGATGGGTCTCGAACCCGCGGGCTCAGGCAATCCACTCACCTCAGCCTCCCAAAGTGCAGGATTACAGGCTGAGACACCAAGCCTGGCTGAGGGATAATTTTTCTACGTGTCCGTTGATATCCTGGATCAGGCAGGCTCTTGCCTGCTGTCTGTCTAGTGTGCTATCAGTAACAATTAAAGGCATAGCAGCTATCTAGATTCAATGAATCAGCTCTGCCCGAGTTCGGTGGCTCAGCCTGTAATCCCAGCACTTTGGGAGGCCGAAGCAAGTGGATTGCCTGAGTCCACAGGTTCAAGACCCACCTGGGCAACTTGGTTAGACCTCGTCTCTACAATAAATAAAAAATTAGCCAGATGTGGTAGTGCACACCTGTAGTTCTGGCTACTTGGAAGACTGAGGTGGAAGGATCACCGGAGCCCAGCAGGTCGAGGCTGTGGTGGCTGGGAGCATGCCACTGCACTCCAGTCTGTATGACAGAGTGAAACTCCAACTCAAAACAAAACAAAACAAAAAAACCCCAAAGAATCAGCTCTGTTTTAACTTTGACTTCCTTCTTTTTTTTTTTTAATTTTATTAATCAATATTTTTTATTATGATTTTATGGGGTACAGTTAAGGGTTAGGTGTACAATTATGTTTCATTCAGGCACCCTGTTGATAAGAGGTGTTTCCCCATCCCCAGACATATTTGCGACTATTAATCCCATCCCACCCCCATGGCTTCCCTCTTAATGCCTGTACGTTTCACCAGGAGTTCAACTCTGTTTTACTAATTATTTGTTGGTGCAAAAAATAGTTGAAAATAAATGATTGAAATCACTGGCTAAAATTACAGTTTCAGTAAATTACATTTCTTTCCTATATTGTCCTTGTCTTCTGCTAGCCCTGGTTATTGAAAGTTGACTAGTTATTATTTTCATGTAAAAAGTAGTACCTTGGTAGTTATGTAGGTCACTGTATATGGTAGTCTAGTTCTATTATCTCAGTGATTTTTAAGTTTCTCTCTCTTTTTTTTAAGCACTAGAAACTTTTCTTCAAACATATGGCTTATAGAGCAGATTAAAAACTGTGGGAGAGGTAACTGGCCTCATCTCTTCCCTCCCCCACCATAATTTTTTTTAATTTAAAAAGATTATTTTAAAAAAATGATTATTGTTATTTAGAGTCAGGGTGTCTTGCTATGTTGACCAGGCTGGTCTCAAACTCCTGGGCTCAAGCAATCCTCCTACCTTGGTCTCCCAAAGTGCTGGGATTATAGGCATACGCCATCACACCTGGCCTTTAAAAATTTTTT